ATGAGGAAGCGAGCGAAGCCTCAGCTTCTCACTTCTGCCAAAAAGCCGCGAAAGCTTTTTAGAGAACTTTAGAGGCTTTAGAGCCTTTGGGGTCTTCAGAGTCTTTAGAGGCATTCCAGACGAAACCCTGTAACCAACGGCTGGTCCTGAAGCCAAGATGCTGCACCAGGCCTGGTCGGCCAGAAGAGTGCCGAAAGCTTTGGCAACAAAACGACTTCGAAGGAAACTGCATTCGGATCGTGTCTAAAGCCATCTACCTGCATAAGCTCGGATGCGATCTAGGTCTAGGCGCTTCCGCGTATAAGCTCTTACACATAGACAGCCTCGCCGTTCTCGACGTTGTGTTCCAGTGCCAACCACTCCTCGTACACCTCCCGAGCACCTCAGGGGCTTCTGCCTATCGGACTAAAGTGACTACAGCCCATAGGTCAAAGTCGTTAGTCCTGTACTTTGCTGCGCAAGGCACGCTGCACATCACCAACCAGTTCATTCTCAAGTATCAACCGCTTGAGCAGCTCGTCTTGCTTCTGGCTGTCCTGCGAATCGTGAAAAGCTGGGAGAACACAGGCGACATGAGCACCCTGCCTGCGCAGCATCCGCATCCTGCGCATTCTCCTGTTGAACCTGTGACTGTGGGCTTCGCCAGAGCTGCTCATCTCGCAGACGTCGGTGTCTTTCGACATCTGTGTTCAAGGCGCGCACGAGGTGTTTGAGGATGTAAACGCACAGTGAAGAGTATTTGGCATCGTTTTCGTTCCCATTCAATCCACAGGACGGGCCATTCTTGTTTTCGGCCCTCACAAGCCGGACGATAGAGGGGCGAAGCTTGCTCCCCAAGTCCTTGAATATGGCACCATCTTGCTGCAACCATTGGAGGAAGGCACCTCGGTTCACACCTTTGTGACCCAACACTGATTTTGCATTAGCGGCATTGGTGGTATCCATCTTCGCTTCTTCGAAGCCTTCTTCGTGACACCAACGAGCAAATTCAAAGGCCAGTCGTGCAATGACTTTGCTGGCTTCTTTCTCCAACTCGTCATTGACCGTGGGAGGTGGTCGTTTTTCTGGAGGTGGTGGAATGTATGGCTCGCCTGAAGGCTGCACAGCAGGACGCACGTCGCGTGGACAGAGTCGCATCAGAGGGCGGTCGAGGCGCACGACTCCCTTCACGTATGTCTCGCAAGCCCTGAAAGGCACCGATGCATACTCTTCACTGCCATAATCGCCAGCTGGAAGAGACCCAACCTGCGTAAGGAAGGCCCTGAACTCGAGCTCAGGACCTCTGCCAGCTTCGGGAGGTGCGAGTATCCGTCGCAAATCCAGGAATGCCTGTGCATGGTGCCACCTTGCCACTTTTGCCTGCGCAGCTTGAGCTTCAGGCAGTTCCTTGAAATCCACAGCGGCGTGTCCACTCAGTGCCGGAAACATGTACAGCCAGGTCCCCCCTGTCTGGCTGACGCTGATGTCTGAGGGATTCCGGCCTCGGTCATCTCCGAGAGTGTTGAAGAGGCGCTGCAGCCACTCCCTACCACGGTAGGCCATCACTTCACGGCCCTGGGACCACTCGACACGAGGGAGCGTCTCCTCTGCCTCGAGAAAATGCTCTGAGTGACTGTCGAAAAGTGCTTTGAATGTGTTGTGATCGATTCCGCCAAACCCAGACTCGATGAATGATCGGCAGGCGGCCAGCCGTCTCCAATGCTCGGCCGCGTTGACTGCTGGAAGGCATGAAAAGGCGTCGGCACCCAGTTTTCCTTCAACCGCCGCGTCCAAGACAAAGAACAATGCTTGCGCATCTGTCACTTCATCACTGCCATCCAAACGCTTGATGCCCGCCAGAAACGCTGGACAGCCGATGCTCACAGCAGAGGGCTCATCCAACAGTGCCTGCAAGGCGACGTGACCTGGACCGTTTGAAGAACTCAGAAAACCGTCGTCACCTTCGCCAAAGAGGAGCTTCTCCAGCGCTGACAGCGAGCTTGGGACCGACGTCAATACGAGGGATGCCAACGACTGTAGCGACCGAAATGCCTCGAAGCCCAAGGTCTCGACCACCTCTGCATCAGATTCTACAGTCTCCTGAAGGCTTGCGAAGGCAAAAACCTGTTGAAGTGCACCCTCGTCGGTATACCCCAGCTTCGTCGCTGCCGAAACGAAGGCTTCCCGTGTGATTGTCCCAGAGTTCTGGGTGTCCACCTGATGAAGCAGAGCCTCTACGGACCCAGCGGCGGAGAACAGCCATTTGCAAGCTTTTGAAGCAGCTTCCAAGTCTTTCAAGCGCTTGGTCACACCCAAAACTCGAAAGTCTTCTCGCGTGACATAGCCTGCTCGGCTGGAGTCCAATGCCACGAAGAAGGCTTCGACCTCCTCGGGCTCCCTTGTGACCCCCAGCTGCTCAAGGCCCAATGCGAAGCTTTGTCGCGTCAGGAAACCCTCGGCTTCTGCATCGATGCTTGAGAAAGCTGTCTCCAAGCTTCCGTGCTTCTCCAGAAGCAGGCCATGCAGATCTACAAGCTGCTCCGGTGTCGCTGGCACACTGATCTCCAACAACCGCAAGAAATCCTGAAGACCGATGCGTCCTCCTAGACCAGTCCGCGGTCGGCAAAGAAAGTTGAAAACTGCTGGACCGTCTTTTCCTGGAAAGCCAGCACGCCTGAGGCTCTCCTCGAACTCTTCCATGCCAATGTCGAAGGAGATGTCTGGCTCTTGGGTTGGGGAGGCTGGGGTCTCTTCTGCAGGCTCGGCCTCCTCGCCTTCTTGAGCCTTGCCTTCTTTGCCTTCGCCTTCTTCTGGCAAGTCCACGTGCGGCAGAACCAGCTGGCCGTCGTTGAAGTCACAGCCCAGCACACGCAAACTGTAGCGGAGGGGGTGAGACTCCAGGGGCCCTTCGGCGGTGCCCGGCTCCGGGAGTGGGCCACCGACATCAAGGAGCTTCTGTGGCAAATGGTACAAGCCCTCGAGGCGCACAGTGAGGATGGCCCAGTCGTGCAGATCTTCCGGGCACAGAATGCGTCCGATGGGGGCAGCTGTAGAGATCTTCAGCAACAGGCGTCCGCTCGGAGGCTCAGCGAAGCTTGGCGGCTCCTCGGGTTGCACGGCCTCCGCTGCATCCGCTGCATCCGCCTCAGGCGCTTCAGCCTTGGCGGCCTCTGCGGCGGCCACCGCGGCCGCCGCCGCTTCCTCGAACTCGGAGCGAAGCTCTTGGAGCAGCGAGTCCGACCACTTCAGCTCCACGTCGAGTTCCAGCAAGGCGGTGTCGTGAATCAACGCACTCAAGTCTACAACAGCTTCAGCTAGAGCAGCGGGCGCTGGCCCGTTGCGGAAAAGCTTCAGCCGCAAGGGCGCGCACAAACTGTCGAGGAGCTGCTGCCTCAGGGCATCCCACACGCAGCTCGTGCTGAGGGTTCAAGTTGTGGCTGACATCGTGAACAAGCCGATCCGGCCTCTCAGCATCGCTCTGGCACGGCTTCGAGATTCTGCACAATGCAGTCGGAGGGTCGATGGAGGCAGGGCGAGAATCCTCCTGAGTCCCCAAGGTTCGAGAGCTTGCAATTCGCCCCAAAAAAAGCCGCTAAAACTGAAGACTGCTCGCTCGCCTCTTTCTTCTTCTTGCCCGCAGCTGCCTCCGCCTGGCAAAACGACAACGAGGGCCAAAGGCCCTCGGCCGGTGAGGACTTGTTGCTTTGGTGAAGGTTGCGGTGCCTCAGCCTTGAGCCGCTTCGCCTCTGCAATCGCTTCGAGCGACTGGAAGAGAAACGGTCCAGGCTCAGCGGACTCCTCAGCGCATGTCAGCGCGTCGGCACACGAGACCTGTGGTGTGTTTTGACGGAGTGCAGTCCTCCACCTGTGCCTCGGAAGCATAATCCTGGCAGAAGGTAGCATGCTGCATGGATCATCCTGTCACGCACACGACGTGAACCCCACGAACCATTAACCCTTGCCGCCGTCCTCTTGCAAGCCCAAGCCAGCTATTTGGATGAAAGCCACTTCTGGCTTGGGCAGGCCCTGTGCTTGGGCAATCTCGATGTGGAAAACGATCCCCTGGCACAAGTACAGGCGTACATTGGCATACATGCTCGCAGCTGCCTGCAGTGCCAGAGAACCAGCCTGTTCCGGTGGCTTCAGTTCTTCATCCATCCTGTCTGAAGTAGGAATGACAATTGAACCCCAGGCCGGAAAACCATAACAGCACCCTGCTGCTCAGACTTTGATCGCTTCCGGCTATTGGAAGGCAAGAAATGATGCGAAGGATCAGTGTCCTGGTAGAGAACGCTTCTCGGCAGCTATCTTGCACCCAGCATTCGCCTCCAACCGTAAAGGGGCGGAACAGGTTTTTCCAAGGGTTTCTGCTTCATGATGACCATCTATCACGCTGCGGGTACACTGCCACATCATAGCAACTCCCTCTGAAGCCCACCCCCTAAACCCTGAACCCCAAAACCAGCATGCAGCATTGCCCGACCATGCCCTGCCAAGCAACACCCTCATCGCCAGGCAGCCAAGTCACAAAGCGCGACTCCAACTTGCCCCAACTAATATGGGGGCCTTTATAATTAGAATAGGGTTTAGGGTGTATATTCTACCATAATTCTAATAACGGCCCCCCCCAAAATAGTATTGGTACTGATCTCGGCCCCCTATATTTCTGTCTCCAAGGCTTCCCTTGAGCCTGGAAGCTGCTCCAAGGAACGATCTCTTCAGGCTACCCGGCACGTCTAGAAAATGTCCAGGGCACCTCTGAAAAATCACCGTGCTCTTTTTTGCCTCCTACTTAGGGTTTAGGGGTTCAGGGTTTAGGGTTTAGGGCTTAGGGTCCTAATAACCCTTTTTACACAGGCTTGATTGGAGCTCGCCCGGTCCTAATAACCCTTTTTGCAGCGGCCTTCTCAGATCTCGACCGGACTGATAGCCCACAGCAGTGACTTCAGATCATGCTCTGCTCCTAATAACCCTTTTTGCTGCAGGCTTGCAAGCAAGAACGCACCCTAAACCCTAAACTCCTCCCCCAAGGCATTGAGCACCAATCGCAGGGGATTGGCGGAAATCGGAGTCGAGCACCCAGACAGTAGGCCTCTAGCACAACGACCAAAACGGCCACTGACGGTTTTGCTGAAGGTGTACAAAGGCAGAAAGGCCGGGGGCGACACTGGGCCCACTGTCAAATTCGTAGCCGTTTCTTGTGAACCTCTAGTCCAAGCATTGCTTTCCGGCGCCGACCGGTGCTACAGTAGTCTCAGAACCGGACGCGTGTGCTACCTTGCAGCTGTGCTGACAGCTGGAGAGGATGCAAGTTATGCACTCTCTGTTGACATGCCCTAGTGACGGTTAACCTCTTGCGGTCAACTCAGCAGTGTAAGCCGGCACGAAAAAGAACAACGGCCAGAGTGGAATCACAACGTTTGCCAGAACATGCATCTTTGGTTTGGCACGGCTTTTCGGCACGCTCGGACCAGCTCGGCCATGTTAAGTTGCCGCACCTCTCTACGAGAACCTGCATAATCGCTTCACCATACTCACTTCTGTCAATGCTTGGTCTAGCTAGCAGTGAGAGTGAAGCTAAAGCGGCGACCCCGCCGGGTACGTTGTGGGACTCGCAGACCAAGACCTCGCGCCCAGCGCGTGCCTAAGTCACAGATGCATACCAACACAGCGCGGTAGCTGCTGATAGCGTGTAGGCCTGGGCTCCACACCAGCATGCCAGCACATGCCAGACCACCAAATCCAGATCCTTTATCATCTGCCACTCTGATCGTCTGCAACATGCTACCATACGCTACCCATGCACTGGCTCGTAGATCTCTAGCTCTGCGGCTGCTCATTGGTTTCACTCCAGCAAGATCCAGCAAAGCTTCAATCTGGCACCGGGGCCTATGACAACGACGTCCACTTCGCCATCCTTGGATGCTTACATATGGGCAGTTCTCTAAATTAGGGTCCCTTTTTTTTAGATCCCCAATATAGTACGGCACCCTTATAAAAAGGGCCCTAAAAGGGACCCTAATTTAGAGAACTACCCATATGCTTACCCCTAAATTGACAGCTTTGTGCACGCCCCCAAGAAAGGGCCAACTGGTTCAAAGCGAGCTGTTGTTAGATTTCGATTGTGTTGCCGCATCTTCCGGTGCATCGGGAGCACAAGAAGAAATGGTCTCTCTATAGAAGGCATATCGGCATCTTTGAACACTCGAGGACAAAACGAATACTCGGGGTTTCTCGGGATCGTACCCTCTTGCTGCTGGCAGTGGTGTTGTGGCAGCGTTGTCCGAGCCTGGCTATGGAGCAGGGCAGGGATGTCCTCATGGCACTTCGATTTGGCAGTCCCTTGGGCAGCCTCTGCCTTGCTCGCAGTGCCCAAAGGGCGCAGAGGGGCACCTGCTGTTGAATCCCGATGCTTTCAATATGTGGCAGGGACTCGGACTTGATTGAGCCGCTGAGCTTCCGACGCTGAAGCCACTGACCCTTGATCTCAAGGAGATAGTTCCTGCTATGTGCCAACCACAAATGCCATGGTAAGCCAGAATATGCCTCAAAGGCTGGACTTGTCGCGGACCGTAGTGCATTTTCACACAGGCACGTCGTCACCAATCTCCCCACAGGGATCGTTGGCGGAAGCGATTGCTTCCACCCAAGCTTTCAAAGCAGAAGCATCACTGACGCGCAGCACAAGCTTCTTCACATGAAAGGCCTGGAAGCCTGTCAGAAAATGTCAGAAAGGTCTCCCAGATTGAAGCGGAGTCGATCGAAGGGTCGGGCAAACTTAGAATCAATCAACCAAGCTGCGGCCGTCTCGCAACAAGACCACCAGCTGCAGCCCACCCAGTCCACTCTTCGGACTGGCAGCGGCCGTCTCCTTCAACAAGGGATACCATAAACATTCAGACAGACTGCGTGCATTGTCATTGGGTCCGAATCTGCGCCATGTTCGCACAGTGTGAACGTAAGCCTGCCCAATCGCAAGCGGTTTAAAAAGTAATCTGTCTGGTCCAGGTACTGTAAGGGCCAGGCCGTGGAGGATCAACAGCCTTGGTTGAAGCTCCAGGCTTATGAAATCGATGTTCTTCGATTCGATCGATTTGGGAGATGCGAGCCATCTACTGCTTTCCATGCCACCACTAAGCAAGATTACGTGCCGAGCGGCTGCAAGTTTTGCATGCTTCGTGTGCAGGAATGCAAACGGGTTCAGCCCAGGTCCAGCTTCCATCTCGAAGAACAACATCGGCCCACAAAGTGACAGCCACACCTTCAGCGTGCCCAAGTTTGCAATGATGGGGGGTGGCCGGATGATGTCGGATAAAAACAATCAACCCGCCCGCGGCATTCCTTCCGTCGCTGCATTTTGCCTAGAACAGATTCGTGAGATTCGTGCCTGCATTTGCTTTCTGTGTTTCCGCATGCTCCCCACAGTCCCGACAGTTGACAACTGCAATTTAAGACTTCGCACAGCGATCTGACTCAAGTCCCCCGCGGCTTCGGAGTGGGCGTCCTGAGAGCACTGAGAAGAAGAACATGCAAATCTTAGACGAGACTTAATTCCTCCGGGGCACGAGAATTCCTTGGGCCTTCGCCTGAGCCCGACTGAGAGCGGTCAGGCGATGAAGCCAAGGCATGCCAGGATCTGAGGGCATCGCGACAGGGGAGCCCCCCGTAGACTGGTCCAGGTTAGACTGCATGCGGGCGGATGCTGTGGACTCACCTGGGCTCTGTGCTTGCTTGCTCTCGGTCAAGAGCCCTCTCTCTCCCTCTCCCTCTCCCTCTCTCGCCCAGGCAATGCGGTCGCCCGTGCGTTTCTGTTTATCACTCTCTCTTCCGCTCCCACCCCGCTCAAGCTGGATTTCCTGGCTGCTTTGTTGCTGAGTGGCAAGTCATTCCAGCGATTTGCATGCACTCCTTGGGATCAGCCGAGACTGCTCGTGACACAGGAATGCTTTGCATGCTACTGCTTGCACAAACTAACACATGCCATCTTCATTCAAGCAGTTGGGTCAGCGAAAATTACACATCGCACCTACATAGTGGATTTCGTGCTCCGCTTGTTCTCATTATTCGGGCTTCCGGGCTTGACCTGGCAACGCTATTTGGATACATCTCTTTGCATGCGCTTCGAACTTCTGCCGTTTACAACGCGACTGGCCCTTCCTTGGTACAGATGTTCCGAACATGTCCATAAGTGTGAAGATTCGGAGCGTGGGTTGGAGATCATTTGCGGATCGATCGTTGTCACGAATCGCGAACAAAGCCGTCCAAGATGCAAACAAAGCGGCAGAAACACGTAAATGCCTGAGACCTAGGCAAAGATGCCTGCTGGGTGAGTACTGCACTGACTCGCCGGAACATGCTGAGATCTGGGGGTTTCCGAAAATAGGGGACCCTAATATAGTACCCGAAATAGTAGGATCCTTATTATAAGGAGCCCAAAATAAGATACCCCTTATATTCGGAAACTCTCATCTTGGCCCCCAACATGAGGAAACTTCGGCTCTGCAAGTCGCTTCTATGGAGAGGACCAGAGCAGTGGTCGCTGCGCAGATCAGTCAGCTGAACCAACATACTGTTGATGGACAAAACAAAGGAAGACCTTATATACCTAAACTATGGGATTTATGGTACTATACTATATTTGGGTCATGCAGGATCTTGTCCATCAACAGTAGGGTGTTGGTAAATAGGGTTTAGGGTTTCAGCACTCACTCTCGGACTTGCCTAGGCGAGTGCTTAGGTTGAGGGCACAACCACCCTGACATGCGACATTTGCTGCGCCTCTTCGACATTATGCACAGCGCCTCTGGGGCGCCGACACGACCTTCCCTTATCCGCCATGTGTACGCGCATAAAATGTGTTACGTTCGTCTGATGAGTCGAATGAGACAGGAATTTGAGGGGTATACTATACAAGGGAGATCCTTTATGAGCGTGTTACGCCTTTCTTGCTTCGGCTCATGCACATTTGGTGCACCAATCGTATGTCTGTGGAGTACTCACGGTCTACGCCTGCACCGCTGCAAAAACGCCCTCCTGCAAGCGAGTGTCGACAAAGCTGACTGCCCGAAAGCGAGGGACGCCAGGAAGGGCTGGCAGGCCATCTGCGAACACTTGCCTCAGGTTCTTGCTGAGCCCGCTTGCCAAGACAAGGCGTAATCTGCTTTTTGGCGAGCTGCACCCAGCCGGTGGCAGAGGCGACGGCAAGCTCACACAGGTCGAAATTACCTGTGGGATGAGAAAGAAAAATAATTCTGCTTCCATGCAGCCACTTCCACTTTCCAGCCCACTTGCTACATATTGCAGCCGGCACACCAGCGCTTGTGACTGGCCTGAAGCTGACAATTGGTGGTGTATCGGAGGATGGAATGCACTTGCATGCGGTGTGTGGCTAGCAGCTAAGCATGCTCCCGGCTAAGTAGCTTCGTCTCACTGTCCAAATCCAGTGAGAGCTCTTCCAAGGGAGCTCTTGACACAGCTCTGTAGATGGGCTCCAGCACCCAATCTGGGATGTCTTCCTGCACAGTGTCACTCATGTATCGCCTCCCCTGCCCTTGTAACTATGACAATGGCCCAACACTCCTTCGTGCCACTTCCTGAACACGGTAGCAAAGTACATGGCAGGCAGCTGCACACGATGCGCACATGTGTAACATGCCAAATCTGGCAAGAAGCGGTTCAGCGCAACCCATGCATCGAAGTCCAACTTCTGTGAAGGAGGTAATGGAGCATGCAGGTTCCAATGGAGCATCACCTCATGACTAGTGGCTGTATTTAAAAGGTCAGGGCTGACGGCAAGTGGGTAGTGGCAAGCCTGTTCAGTTTTATTCCACCCAACCCGACCAGGCAGTTTAGGCCACGATGGATGACCAAGACACTGTCGAGAAGAAGAGCTGGTGCAAACTGTTGATAGATGGAAGCATCCTCAAAGATCTCTCCGGTCCAGACAAATCGCGGTCTTCTCAACCGGGTGCAGGCAAGCCACGCTTTGAGGTTTGTACCGCGAAGCTCATCCGCAACAACATCCATAGCCATGTCAATCGATTCCTCGATGAGGTCATCCTGCACACAGACTTCGGACGTCGACCGCGGCAAACCGAATCCCCGATGACGCTTCCTGGCTCTTGGAAGGGCTGTTGGCTTTGTCTGGCTTATCCTTGTCGGCAAGGACAAGAGGCATGACGAGGCCAGAACGCCTTCATGGTCGCATTCTCGCCTTTTTTTTGCTGAGCTTTGCAGCGCGCAGTTGTTGACGCCACCACACCTGCCAGCTACGGTCAAGCTCTGATGCTCGTAAGAAGCCGGCGCGGCTGCCTCGGAGAGACTGCCAAGCAGGCGATTCATCTTCTGTAGATCTGGTGGCACTTTGAGGCCCGTGAGGCCTGCGAGCACGGCATCTAGCTCGAGCCACGGTATACGACAGGTATTACGTCGTACCGTGCGGTACCTGTTCGCAGCGCAGATACTACACCAGTGCTTGTCAAGCAAACCTTGGATGCGCAGCTCGTCTCACAACTGCGTCGTCAGCAAGATGAAAAGAGACCGAAATAGGTGTAGTGAAGTGCCATGTTGCAGAGTTCAAGAACTCCATGCGGAGGATCTTGGACAGTGAGAAGTCCTGGTAGCCGCACTGAGCTCAAGCAGCAGAACTTTAAGAGGCCAAACTAAATTGTGTCTCCTCGCCCAGGAAGGTTCCGATTTGAAGGTGGCTGAGGATGGTGGTGCGCATGAAACCCACCAGGTCGATTGGATAGTCTCTGACAGAGCCAGTGACGACCAGGAAAGCCTCGGCGACTGGGCAGTCGCCGAGTGGCTGGGCAGTTCTCCAAGTTGGCCAGGGAGCAAGACCCCTACCGGGACTCGACTCAAAGATCTGGCAGCCAAGATAGGCACAGAGCTCGGCAAGCCTCAACAGCTTCAGCCGAGCCCGGGCGGCAGTGAGAAACACATTACGCCAAGTATCTCGAGCTCAATATCGTCCTCCACAAAAAGCGGAGCTCGTGGCACGAAGAAAGGCTCGAACCCTTAGAAGCAACGACACGGCAAACGCAAGCAAAACCTTGTATATGTCACGGTGTCTCACGGAAGCTCATGGGGTGGCATCGAGACAGCCGCTTCCCGGCAAGCTAGGAATCCGGGCAGGAGCAACAGCATTGTGATTTCGGTGGCTGGGTTTCCCGCGACTGTGATTTTGTTATGAATGGGACTTGCGCATTCTGTTTGTGACATGGTTCCTGTCGCGGTGCTGCGATTGGCTTTGACTGGGCTCCAGAGAACCGCATTTCGATGACCCCTAGAGTCTGCCGGAGCTCAGCTCAGAGCTAGGGCCGCGGCGGATCTCCCTTGAAGGTGATGCCACAGAGCGCGATAGAACCGTGCCTTCGAGTCCCCAGGATTTCCAGCAACCCGAAACCCTAAGCCCTAAACCCTAAAACCCTAAACCCTGAACCAGCACAGGGCAGCCTTCCACCTGCAGAGACTGCAGGGTAAGCTCCTGATTCGCCTGGCTGAAGGCCCTGGCGAAAGCAGACACTTTCCCTCCAACATCTGCAGCTCTCCGGGCCTGTCGTCCAGGAAGTCAAGACCTCACGCTTCAAGCCAAAGCGAAGCAAAATCCTCCTCCTCCTCCTCCTCCTCCGCCTGCCTCCTCCTGCCTCCTCCTGCCTCCCCTCTCCCTTGCCCTGCCAGTCTGTCCGAGAAGCCCATGGCCATGTCAGAAGTTGCCTTCATCTCCTTCTGCAGAAGTCGCCGCGTGGAGACATCCTTAGCTCCGATGCACTGATTCGAACCGTTCTGGTGATGCTGCTGGGTCCGCACCTTGACAGCAGGAAGTAACCTTTGAAGTTTCAGCTATTGCTGGAAGGGCTCGGAGCAAAGATCCACGGCAAACTGGCCCTTGTTGCTCCGTGCCAGAGTGTTGGCCCCATTTCTGAGGAGGACCTTGCCAGCAGCCGACACACCTCTCACTGTTGAGATGCTGTGTGTGCAAGAGTCCATACCGCTAAGTGTTCGACTCTGACTACATCCTGCCGTCCCATGAACGCCGCCACATGCAATGGGGTCCATCCTGCCTCTGCACAATAAGCTCCCACATGTCTTTGGCTTAAAGGGCCCCTCTGCTCTCAAGCTGCTCCTAAGGGTCCTCGTCGGTTGACTGAAGGCCTCCGTTGCCTGTGGCTGTGGCCTTTTCCTCCTCGCCATGTTTCGCCTCCTAGGCTCGACTCATCACGAGTGCATGCTCATTATAATATTTTAATCACAATAATATAATAACAATAACAATAACAATAAATAATAAGAAGAATAATCCCTCCTTCAGGCTCTTCCAAACCTTTTCTGGTACGTGACTCTGGACCATAAGCCCATAAGCGACAAGCTGCTTCTGTCTCTGGCTGTCCCCAGCCGTTCTCGCTCGCATCCATGCAGATCGGGCCCGCACCTGCCAGACAGGGCCAGAGCTTCTGAGAGAAACCGTACTTTCCGTGAGATGTGACTGGCCTGGCTCTTCATCCAGAAGAACTAAGACTTCGACGATGCTGCAGGAGCCACTTCGGCAAGCAGCATGTAGACAGGTTGTGCCCTTCTGGTCCTGAAAGGAAGAAAATCCGAAGCAACGGACACATTGTCTGTTTTACTGTGCAGTCGGGCAGCAGTCACGCGACGGTTGGCTCCCAGGACCAGGAGCCAACGAACACCGGCTAAGTTGGTTGAAGCACCTGGGACGAGCGGTCTGGGGAGCAGCCAGGTTCCGCGAGTAAGCACTAGGTGCCGCACAGAACTGCAATAAGTTACGGTCAATGACATTGAGACCTTGCACGATGGGAGCATTGCACATGATATATCTTAGGTTATCTTAGTCATGCTTGATGTCCAGCCTTCCAACGTGTCTGGAAACACAGCGCCAGAAGGTTCGGGCTCCTTGAATGCAGCTTCGCTATAGCTACTCTAGGTTTGCAAGCCGGCTTCCATCCTCGATGATGCTTTCCAGGGACTGCGATATCGTCAGCTGCGAGCACTGCCTGTTGAACCAAGCGGTGTGGCGGAAAGCTGCCAAGAACGGCCCTTGCAGACGAGAGGCCCTCCGCACTTGCTCCTCTCGCCTGACCACGGCCACGGCGGCACGGCCCGAGAATGTCACCGTGGAGCTGAGCTCCGTGCCACAGAGGGCCTGGGCACTGCCCATGCCGGACCTGCTCGGTGGGCCGTTCTGACAGCGCTAACACGGTTCGAGGCCGCCTGAGGGCCTAGCCTGCAGAAGGAGAACGCTTGGCCATGGGAGCTCTCATGGCTCTTCGGCTCTCAAGGCGGCTCTATGAACCCATGGCTTGACCCTGCTTCACGGTGTTATGCCCGGGCCATCCGTTAGCACCCAGTGTTAAGAGCTTCGCCTACGCCACTTGCAAGACCGTCCCCAGGCCCACAATCATCTCTCCAAGCCATGACGCTCGAGCAGGGAGGCAGGAGGAGTCCTTGAACAAGACAAACCTAAACTATTCAGTCCCAAGCCGCTGCATCTCTCACTGTGATGAAAAACATAGGAAGTGGTGGAAAGCGCATCCGGCTAACTACTATACTGGCCGCTCGCCTTTTCTGGAAGTGGTACGAGGTCTTGTGCGGGAAGGACCAGAAGGGACCACCGAGCCCTTGGCAGTCACCAGGCTGATCAGAAGCACAAGCTACTGGCTGGTTGAAGTCATTCAAACATGAGGGTTTCTCCGAAAATAGGGGACCCTAATATAGCACCTGGAATAGTAGGATCCTCGTTGCAAGGACACCCAAATAAGGTACCAATTCTTTACGGAAACTCCCACATCTGCGGCCCCGGCTCTGCTTGTGCTCGGGACGGAGACGAAGCACTCCATGGCTTTTCCGCGCGGGTTCACGAACTGTGGTGGCTTTTGTTGGCATTTACAGGGTTTGCTTCGGTGATGTTAACGGCCAGGCAGCATTTGGAAGGTGTGTGTGTATATATATATATATATATATTTATTTATTTATTTATATTTATATTTATATTTATGTTTATGTTTATGTTTATATTTATATTTATATTTATATTTATATTTATATATTCTTTTTCAAGTTCATCATTCAGCCTGAGAGTTTGTTTGTCGCTGCCGCCAAGACTATGCTGCGCATGCGGAAGGAGAGGGTTCAAGACCGCACTGCAGAGAGACATGTTTCACAGGCATGGGGCGGAGCAGGCCGGCACCCGTACAAGCATGTGGGTAGTTCTCTAAATTAGGGTCCCTTTGGGGGTCCCAGATATAGTAAGAACTACCCATGTGTGAGCAGCACACACTGGAGACGGATACGTAGTAGCATAACCGAGACCTTTCGGGCATGCTGAAAGATGCCGCAATGTTGGCCTGGCCTTGGTTTTATGTTGCATTGTGATCCTTCGGCACTGGAATCTCTGTCTTCCGCCGTGCTTGGGTCGTTGGTGCAGTGAGTCCTCGGAAGACTTGACGGCTCATTATGAGTTGTTATGCCCAGACCCTGCCATGTATGCGATGTTCACGGACGGCCGACAGAGTCGCATGCGGTGGGAGCTGCTGTTTCATCACCGGCATGTGATAGGAGCATGTGCTCCGCAGCTACAAGATGCTTGCAAAAATCCCTTTTGGTTGGAGCCAAAAAATATAAAAGCTATGTAGACCACTGCTTCAGCAAGTTAGAATGTCGGTTTGGCATTCTGAAGACTTGGACTCAGCACTTTCTGACAGCAAAACGGCTCTGGTTTGCTGGCATCAATGCTGTTCTTGCCGCAAGCGGCCGAATAAGGTGCGCGGGGAAGCCGAAAGAAACTTTCAGAGCTGAACAGGTCCTTTCTTGCCGTCGGACAGGATTTTGGACATGATTGGTAGGTTTGTCTTTTTGCCTTTTTGAATGCTTGTCCCATCTAGCGACAGATTGCAAAGTTCAAAGCGTTAGAGATGCTGCGGTGCGATGGCTGCTTATGAGCGGAAGCAGGCCCTGAGTTCCGCTCGGTGAAAATGTTGGTTAGTCTTGCTTGTTTACCACGGAAACAGAGTATGTCATGTCATGTAGAATCGCCCCAGTTCCCGAACCCGCTTGCATGGTTTTAAGATCCAATCAGTTCCATCCACCATCGAGTCGGCTCCCCCATACCGCATTTTCTGGTGCATTCTGAACTGGAGACCGACGAGTTGATCATATAATTAGTGACCCTGCACAAAGGAGCTTTCGATTGTGCCGTGCATCTCGATTGTATCTAACCTGCGCGACATGATTCCATATGCTGAATCACGGCGGGGTTGGAGGTGCGCTTTGTTTTAGCCGCCAGCCCCCAATGCGGGATGCAAAGTCACCGTGGCTATGTACAGCAAGGAAGTGCCCTCACATTTTCAAGAGCACCTGACCCCTTGGACCACACTACACATCATGCCTGTCAGCGAAGCCATCTGCAAGCTTTCGTATCTGCCCAGTTCTTGCGATGTCTTGTTCCATACATGAGTACAGCGCCAAGCGAGCTGACATCGGCATGATCTGCGGACAATGCACAGCGATTTGTTGACTCGAAACACGGAGAAAGTCTCAGAGAATCCCCCGCAAGATCTCCAGACCTCTTGAACATGAAATGGTCCACTGCAAAACCCAGGGGGTTGGAGAAAAAACATCGGGCACTGACTTGCATTGTGCGAAATGTTCGGCCTGAGCTCTGTGGATGCCATCCTTTCCTTTCATACTGACTTGAGATGCACACTGAGATCTCAACAGCATTGCCCTGCAGACCTGAGGCGATGCACCTGGCAGTGGTGAGAAATGGCGTCAACTGGCCTCACAGCTACCGGGAGCCCTTGAGTCCCTGATCCCAGCCTTGTTTCAACAGGAAGCGAATCATCTCGGGAGCCCCAAGGGCGGCGGCAAGCCTCTGCGAATCGACGCACGAAGCATTGGAGGTGCAAGGCAAAGTCGTCTCACTGCAAGCCTGTGCTACGAGAACCTGCGCTGGTCGCCGATGCATTCTTGGGCACCGCGCATTAAGGGCGTTGCTCCTTCCGAATCACTGGCATTCGCCTGGACAAACGGCACAAACCGAAGCAGGGATCCGCACTTTGCATGCACGAGCGACAGACGGTTTTCGTCTCCAGTTGTGGTTTTCCGTGGAGAAATGCAGGGCCTGCAGCCTTCTGACTAGAGACCCCAACCGCAGAGACCATACTCAACTCAAGGTATGCCGGCTTGTTTTCGAGGTTGTTGGCTTGACGCTACAGAAGCCCTGGTTGTCTCCTCTGCACGCCACTTCAGCAGCTCCGCCGCATCTCGAACCTGACAGCCCGCGGGTCGCAGGGCTCCGACTGAGAGTTCGAATGCACATCTAGGATTCGGGCAGCAGTGTCCCCGCACGCAGCAGCATGGTGGAGGGCCGACCTCGGAGATACGAAAGCACGAGGACTAACAAAGGCAAGCCGCAGTCCCGGCCGGCTCGTGGCGTCTCGGAAATGCAGATCCTGAGCCGCGGCTGCAAGGCCATGGACGCTTTCGTGGCGAAAAAGACACTTCCAGCTTCCGAGATGACGACAGCTTTGGCAATGATCAGTTGGCGAACCTCAATCGAGCACAGTCGCCTGGCGAGGCATCAAGCCTGGCATTCCAGATGCTTAGATGGCGTCCACTTCAGAAGCTCCGACTCTCACCGCGCACATCAAAGGAGTCCTTTGTCACACGCCAGGTGGGGCCGAAGCTCGACTTGTCATAGTTATTCCAACAAACGCACCAAGTTTCCGGCAAGCCAGAACCAGACCTCGGCAAGTTCAGCGAAGCCGAAACCACTTATAAAGTCAGGTTTGAGCAGCTGGCTCTGCATCATTGACAGATGCCTGGAAGCTGAGGAGCAGCCTTCGTGCACTTCAATCGAAGCACCGGCTCACATATGACGGTGAGGATTTGCTGGCAGCACGAATTTCAGGCAGAGATCTCGGCGTTCTGCACAAAAGACATCATCAGCTAAGTGCGCAGTGCCTGTGTACGATTAAACAAGTAGATGGCTGAGCAACCAAACACCGTCACCTGCTGCATCAAATTTCCAATTGGAGGACTCCAGTGAACTGCAGCAGCCAAACGGATGCATTGATTACCGGTTACTCGTACTGGCTAGGTTTTGCTGCTGGCAAGTTTTGTGATTACTGACTCTGCCTGAAGCAAGCACAAGGGAAGGGCCCCGGAGGTTGCAAGTCCTCCCCACAGCAGCTGTTCGAGTGTTGAACAAAGGGCTCAGCCTGCACCCAAATAGGATAAAACGTAAGACGGAGCCCCTTTGTTCTCGCTCTCTTGCATCCCCTGCTTTTTGTCTTTGGAGAACGCTGGGGTCTGCAGCTGGCGGCGCTGGTGGCCCTCCCCGGTCCCGCCAACATGCGAGGCGGAAGACATCTGTATCCTGTTTCTGGGGTGGCCTTCGTCAGGGTGCATCTGCCTGGTGGTCCTTTCTCACCTCTCAGAACAGTATGGAGCGCAATGGGCCGAAGTCTTGCCGTTTACAGATCCCCTCTCTTGGTTGAAGGCTCCCCATCCACCGCCATCGATGCTGGACGTTCATCCGCTCCTTCCTCGAGCCCAGCGGCGAATCGGCGAGCCCACTTTGTAGGCTTTTGGAACCCACCCAAGCAGGGGCTGAGGCCCTGCAGCATACATCTGACCATTTAATCGACAGACTTGCGAACGCTCGCCACACGTACTGCAACACCTTTGCTGGGAACTCAGGAAGCAGTTTGGTTGGTTGGCTGGGTCCCTGACCTGCACAGTTCCAAGTCACCCGCGGATGCTGCAATGTGTAAGGCCGTCCTCGGTACACAGCAAAGACACATGAATGAAGACTGTCTCGGAATCTGCAGCTGTTGACACCAAAACACAGAGCTACCAGTATCGAGCTTCAACGACAGTGACAGTGTCAACTACGAGCATCTGACTCGCCGCGGCTGTTCAACAGGCTTGCCGCTGCTGGAAAGTCTGGATCCCATTCTTAGCACACCACGATCCAGTCCAGTTTGCTTGGCACTGCAGAAGACCGAGCCCAAAACCCTCCATGGCTTGCAGGCAGACCTGTGCAAAGGCTTAGCCCTGCTTCGCTGGCTTTTGCTTCAAACTGCTGAAGCTAGACTTGCAGCTCGGAATGTGCCAAACTTGAACATGCCAGCCTCTGCTGTCACTAGTCGCGCTTCCAGGTAGCCGGTAGGACCTCGCGACCATGGAAACAACTTGCATGCTGCTCTGGCTCGGAAGAGCTGTACTCAGTCCGGCACGTTGCCAGGACTTCGAGACCTCCAGAGCAAATCGTCCATGCTTGAAAAAACACCTAACCTGACCTAACCTAGTCGGGCTGAGACTTTGGGCACTTAGTAAGGCCGCGGCCGCAAGTTCGGAGGCAGGAATGGTGCTTGCCGGAGCTGATATGTCCATGTCCATACTCAGTGGCTCAGGGCCTTAAAGACATTGTGAAGGCCAGCAACGCAGCATCACAACTCGAGTACGTTGGAGTAAGGTCAGAGCCACCAGACCTTGAAACTCTAAAGACGTTGCTGCTTGCAAGATTTCGAAGTTACAATGTCAAGAGTCTGGCCACCAGCTTGCACGCCGCAAAGTTGCCACCATTGCGGGGACCTGGCTGCATCTGCTCGAGCTACACAGGTCCGTTCTGGTTGCAATGCGGCAGATCGATGGTTCGGACTTTGAATAGCGGCGTTCGATTTGCCTGGAACCGTGTGGGCGTTCTCTGTATATTGAATAGAGAATAACCCCCAAGACCGCCACCGACCGTTTCCGGCTCTGTCAAACTGTGGGCTGCCGGTGTAGATTTGGAATTTCCGTGCAGTCTTTGCATTGGTCGGTCTGGCATCACATCTTGGAAGCCGTGCGACCTTCACGTTCGCTTCAAAACGAAATCCCTTCAGAAAGCACTGGTCTTGCTTCTTTTCGGCGTCTGCATGAGATATGGGTGGGCGGGTGGGCGGGCAGGCCGGCGACGGGCGGGCGGACGGGCGGGCGGGGCGGGTGCGTGGTGGCATATTTGGACAGCAAAAGCACTTTGCGCACTGGGCCTGGTTCTCGGAAAGGTCGCCAAGCCTGGGAAGGCCCAAAAGGCCACACGGAGGTCTCTGACATTCTCTGCCGAACCTTGGGTCAGCCCGCGCGGAAAGCAGCAGCCTGAGGAGACTGCCGGGTCGAATGTTCCAACGGGTGCTCACAACCGCCTGGTTATAGCAAGGGCCCCATTGCCACAGGCCAAGTGCAACGGCGTCCTTGGAGCCGACACAGGTTGCTCAACAGAACTGTGTGACCGTGTCCGAGAACCACACTGCCCCTTGAGGTTCTGTGCGTCGAAGAAGGCTCCTTCACCTGGCAGTTCCACACGGATGCGCAGCTCTCTGGGAAGAGACTAGACTCAACTCCAGCATTCAAGACAAAGGCGGTGCCACGCAGCAGCCTCGGGAAAGGAAGATGGCAAGCGAACTGCTTGCCGCATGTTCCGTTTGTCTCGCTTCGACCAAAACTTAGCCCTCTCACAGCCCGCTGCACCACTTGATTACACGTTGCCCTACGGACAATGCGAGCACTCTCCATGTCCAGATTCTTTGTTGCCGCGACAGCGAGTCAGCAACAGAGTCGTCTGTCAGTCCTCAGGCAGTTCTTTGGCCTGCATCCGGATGTACTCTCTTGCACCTGCTCGTGCTGGAGTCTGCTAGGGCACCTCTGACGACACTGTTTCTCTTCAGGCCGACCAGGCTGGTGGAGCGAAGTTTTCGCCAAACGCCCAGATTGCCGTCAAAACGCGGCTCAGGCGAGACTCATGACTTACGGCGCTTGCGCTACATGGTTCATTCCCTTCGCGCCCTGGCTCACTCAGATTCTCGCGGCAACAACACACCAGCTCGGAATCCTTGCCCGGCGACACTGAAGGATCAACAATCATCTTGCTGTGAGAAGCCTGGGGAGACCACCCTGGAGTCGACTTCCCACCGAACGTGTAAAAGGCTTCACCTGCAGACAACTTTCGGGCTGAAAAAGTTGTCAAGACCTTAAGCACTTCGGGCCATGGTTCCATCCATTGTCAGAGCTTGAAACCTTTTTCTTATGGGGTCGCTCAGCGAAGACAGGTGTGCGTGCCAAGTGTTCCGAACTGCCACCCTTTTCTAGCTGGCGTAAATACATCTAATGTGCATTGGCTTCTTCGGTGTGCATAGGTCCTAAGTTCTTGTTTAGCCCCAAGCTCTAGTTGGCGCAGCGACAGGGTGCGACAGCAGTCTCTCACGTCCTGCTGCGGCCCTCTGAAGGCGCACATGCGTTTCGTATGTAACTTTTCTGTAGCTATACATGGCTATAAATGATGTAAACATACGTGCAGGCATACGCATGCCTACGATATGGTCAACTAACAGGCTAAGCTACACCTCGAGAATGCATCTCAGCCTTCTTGTCTTGCAGGCTGGTTATGCTGGCTCGCCCGCTAAGCCACACTGAAAACCAGCGATTTCGAGCAGGACTCAAGACTCTGTTATGCTGAAAGCGACATCCACAGGCACAACCTTTCCTGCCCGAATTTCATCCCCAGGGTCGGACAGGTCAAAACTTTGCAACATTTGTGGTCTGGGGCGTTGCAATACTGTACCAGCGGTTTTCGGATCGAACACGAGCGTGCAGCACTTCAGCATCTTCCGAGTTTTCAGCTGCAGGAGGGCACCCAAACCCATGCAATGAAGGCAAGCTGCACTCGAAGCCAGCCCCCTCCGGCTTCAAATCATAATGACCCTGCCACACGCAAACGTAGGAGAGCGCAAGCGCAAGCAGCATGGAAAGTGCAGCCGTTGCCTCGCGAACCTCCCAAATCTCCCATAGTTCTGGCTTCAACGCAGTGGAAATCTCGGATCGGCGAAGCAGAGGCAAGTTCAGGTACCTGAGATGGTTCGTACTTCCACGCAAGCCGATCAAGAAGCTTTAAGGCTTTGAGAGCGATGCTTCCGAACAGCTGGCCTTGCGATCCCACATTCAACAACAGCTTGGTTTTTGTCCGGGCAGCTCCATGCTCTCGCCAAACCTGGGTGCAAAGAAATAATAGGGCGCGAAGTCGCGTGTGCAGCGTCCATGGAATTCATTGGGATCTTGCAGGATGCCGAGAGGCTCTTCCCGGGACTCCATCCCCTCACGGCTCATGAGGTTAAGGTGAAGCACCCTGGCAGCCAAGAAGTTCCAGCCATGAGACCTTCGAACTGATACTGAGGTCGACACGTGTGGCCTCGCGGGCATGGCAAACAATGAGGTAGAGAAGGGCTGGCGGACAGACCGACGAACGCTGTCGCACGGCTAAGGGGCAGACCTGGAGTTGAAATTCTGCATAAACTCTCCAAATATGTGTCGAATCGGCCACTCCTCTCCAGTTGAATCCGGAAGGACGCCTGGCCTAGCACAAGCCGCACTGGCTCCTGTGCACATTTTGAAAGACCGTGTTGTCAATGATGAAGTCCTGTCGTTTACAGCACTACAAAGTATATGAAGATGTAGAAGTAAAGCTCTTCTGTGCTCACAAGTCCCAGCGTCCAATGGCACCGTCGGGGCTGGGAGCTCGCAGACATCGAAGTGATGGAAGAAGCAGCCGGCCCGCCCGGAGTCGCCGTGCTGTCTCCTGGCTTCCTGACCGCCGGGACACCGCTTCTCAGTGACGAGAGTGGAGGGCTCAGGCCTGGATGGCAGGCCAGGCAAAGTCCACCCCTGCCACTGCGGTCAGAGCGCTTGTCTTGCCGGCTTTTGCCAAGTAAGCAACCTCAGACCAACGAAAGAACGGCCTATAGGCGCCAAGGCCTAAAATGCCTAAGCTCGGGGCATCCAAGCCAAGACCGCAGCCGAGGACAACTGCCGCCAAGCCATTCCCTGAAGCCTCCTCGAGAGATTCTCACTATTGCTTTCACATGCTGCGCTCCCGCAGCTCCCTCGCGCTCCCTTGTCCTCAAGTCCAGCCGCCAGTCTGCGGATCTCTGCTTTCGGCTGGCCCAAGCTCCAAAATGGAAAGGAGCCGCCTTCGCCGTACTCCCTGGCAACGTCTCAGAACGGAACACAACCGCCACCGACTGTTGTCTTAGGCGCGTGCTTTCCTGGCCTAGTCCAGGACATCTCTTCTTCCCCAAGTTCAGCACCAGCATCAAAGCGGTCTCGCACCTGGAAGAGGCCGTCTCTGTGCCTCGCATGCTGCAGAGCGCAAGCAAGTGCAATCAATTAAACGAATCTGTAGGGACTAGCAGGATAAAGTCTCCTTGTAAGCCATGCATTTCCAGGTCCGAGGTGGAAACAAAGTCGATTTTCGTAAAGGCGACACGGCTTGGCCGATGACAGTCTCTTTTCGGCCTCGGGCTGTCCAGTTTCGGAGATGCCACGGCCTTTTGCGGATGTCCGAAAGCGCACGAGTCGGCAGATCTTGGCATGGTTATTTGAAGTTGTTTGGTTGGGTTTTGAGGGCGAAAGACTGAATGAAGCCTTCCTGCCGTCCGAGACACGCTCTTTCAAGGTTGCTGGAGCGGTCGCTTCTGGCCCATCGTCCGCGCAGTCGCTGCCCCAGAGTGCCAGAAGGGTCTGACAGGAGGGCCCTGCCGCCAAACACTCTTTGCGGCCATGCCACAGCTGTGCACGCACGATTCACGCCTGCGCTCGAACGATTGAAAGATGTGAGGTCAATTTTGCCTGGAGGTCCAACCAGCACCGGCAGCCACCAACAATGCCTCGGTCCCAGGCAGTGTCGCACGTAACGGGGTCTGTCTAGCCCTGCGCCTGCGAACTGGGAAGAAATCCCTCACAGGCCCTGGCGCAGCGTCTGAAGCCCCAAGGGCTGGCAGGGCGCTTTTCCATGGCAAAAGCACAGGCTACTTCGCGCGGTCGGTTCCACGTAATATCTAGCTCACTCTCTGACGATCTAGGAGGCCCGCGTCGTCTGCATGTCTTACATTCCGTCTGTGGGCCCCATTCAGCTGACACGATCCTGCATAGTCGAGGCTGCCACTCGGCTACTACCAGTAGCACGCGAAGATCCCAAGCACATGTCCAGACTTGTTTTGCAAAAAGTCGACCTCACTTTCGCATTGCAGATTCCACCAGGCCCCCAGCGCATTTACGATATGCAGGTGACCTCACATTGCATCTTCTTTTATGCACGCCATGTCACCCTGAATCCGCTTCTCTCACAGTCAGGCACCACCAGTGACAGCGGCATGGAGGACGCTGGTGCCTCGCAGTTGGCAGCGTGGGCCCAAGCAAGCCCCACTGCAAAGCGCCCCACTGCAAAGCGCAGCCCTTGCATAAGTTTGCAGGCCTGCAGCGTCACAAGCGTGGCACCTCTGTCTGCACTTGCTGCGAGCCGAGCTCCGAATCGGGCTGAGCCCATTTCTGTTGCGCACAGCGGCCAGTCTTCAGACGACAACGTTTCCAGCAGAGCTTGCACCGAGGCCTTGGCACGACTTCTTCGATAACAGCCGCTTTTTTGGACTGTTGAACTCGGGATCCCACTACAGATCCACACAAAGCAGCATGATGAAGCCTCCAGCGCAAGGGTAAGAATTCGGATTCCCAAATCAAACGGCTGCTTGGCTATGGCCCTCTCAGTATTCCACCGCCGAACCGCTTCAGAGCTCGAGAAATCTCTGAAGCCTCCAAAACAGGCTCAATAGCTTTCAGCCCAACGGGGCCCAGCCACTGCAGGGACACAGGGCCTTCGGAGGCTGCATGCTGCAGTAGATGCCTTTGCACTTGCACTTTCGACTTCGGGCAGTAGCAGCGCATGAAAGCCAGTAAGACCGGCACGGTGATGGGCAAGGCTTCGTTCGGCTTTGTAGCAGCCTTTGGCTTCGCGAACATGCTGTAAAGCGCAACACAAGGCATTCCCTCGAGGCCGCCAGCTTCTTGCGGTAAGGTATTGGACCAGGTTTGAAGCCTGACACCGCTTGTGACATAGGTGGGAGGCAAATCCCGATCATCCACTTTCATGCGAGTGACGCTCCTTTTCCTGCAACTGACTAGCAAAGAAACAGGACGTCTACACTTGCTTTGGGCCGCAGGTTGCACCTGAAAAGCCTCCAGGGCGCCGAGAAGCACTTAGACGAGATACGTCCCAAATCCAGCAACCCATAAGATTCATTCAAAAGCTCCGCTCTGCGAGAATGATGTGCCCGACGCTCGGAGGCAGGAGGTTGGTGCTGGCATAAACAACCATGCCACCGGGTTCATGGCACGAGTAATAACAGCAGCTGCACGCTTTGGTGCACGGCGCGAAGCCCCATCACTTTTCAGATTCATGCTGCTCTCTGATCCTCAGTCATACGCCATCATGCGACGGAGCAGGGGATGTGAGAGAGACAGTTGTCATGGGGCCGCGGCTCATGCGCCTGGTCGGAGGCACAAGGCTTCTTCACAACGCATGAGCACCTGACAGAGGTTGCAAGTCCTGAAATGATGGTACCACCGACGCTGCAATTACAGGGGCCCTCTGCCACTCCTCACTAGGAACTCCATGCCTATTCCCATCTGGCCTCATCCAGACTATAGCCACGGCATGCAGTTCCGGTAGGAATACCCAGGCCACACGCCATCTTCTCGGCCATGCGTGCTAGTCCTTGATTTGGCAATGCAGGGGGTCGGCATCATATCACAGCTTCCAAAAACCCTCAACGGAAGCATGGACTCAGGACCGACAGGACCGGATCGGATGCACACACGTTCGGATTGAAGCTATGCGAGAACTGCTGCGAGCTCGGAATTGCGATGCGGAGAGGTTCGAATGTCGTGGCATTATACTCCCACGCTCATACTCTGGAGCGTTTTGCTCTGCAAGGTAGCTGAGGCAGCTGCAAAAGCTGCTGTCTGCTTATCGATAGATATGGATACGGATATAGATATTTTGGCTCCATCGTCCGAAGGCTCTGCGTGCAGTTGACAAATGTGCAAGGGGCTATGTCGCCACCCCGCGCATTCCAGCAACAGGACAACTGGAACTCAGAGTTGGACAACACGTGACACAAGGCAGTACAGAATGTCACACCTCAGCTCACACAATGTGCTTTCAGTCCCTGAGACATAAGGTGATGGTTGGGGCAAGGAAGGCTGTACATACCAGTCACGAAACTCAAGGTCTCAAAAGATGGCGACTTTTCGGTAGCTCTCACTGGAGACAAGGAAAAGACCGACCACCCAGAGAGAAAAAGTTGTGCAAGTCGGCATGCTGCGAGCAGAAAGAAATAGATAGAGATTTGAATATTCTGATTCTAGAAAAGATATAGATATAGATTTGATTTAGATGTTATAAGTATAGATGTAGATGCACAAACAAAGCCTAATAAAGATACAGAGACACATGTAGACATAGAAGTAGATATAGAAAGGATATAGATCACTAAGCAAGGTTTCGTTCAGTTTGGCTCTCACAGCTTCGTTGGAGGTCCTTGCTACTCCAATTAGCATGACCCTCATCGGGTGGGTAAATTGGCGATTGAACGCAAACACTTGTAGTGGAAGGCGTCGATACTGTTTAGCTGCGTCTCCGTTAGCCACAACGTGGACATGATGTATACCAGCTTGGATACACCACCCGCCTTGTAAATTTGCAGCTTCTTCTTTGTGGATGATCCCGCCAGCGTGATTCCAAACTCGCTTCAAGCTCCGAAAAGCCGTCCTGGCTTCTCCGATGCGGTGCAGACCGCCCCAATACACGATAGACGAAACCCAAGGTACAGTATCCCCATTACTGAAGAAGATTTCTTCTTCTACTACTACTACCACTACTACTACTACTACTACTACTACTACTACTACTACTACTACTACGTTTGAGGATCCATAATAAAGCATATGCTCGTACGACGTCTCCGTCAACGATGCTAGTGCTACCATGTCCGATGGTCTTCGGTGTTCTCACATCCTGCCCCACCTGCCTTCTGCAGCCCCAAGCTAGGAATTGTGCCCGCATGACACGATAACGACGCAGTATTAAGCAACTCACAGCGAAAACATGTGGGCCTCTGCCTTCTGTCCTTACCTTGAAACCTAAGCTGTTTCGGTGCTTGTTCCTATGCTTGTACCAGCTCGGATGCGCACTGGGGCAAAACGAGCCATCTCAGGTCATGCCTGTACGTGGGCATGTGCGCACGCATGTGCTAGGTATGTATGCACGCAGGCATGTATGTAAGCGCATGTAGGCATGCCTGCATGTATGCAGGGCATGCGCCGGCCAGGAAGGAAATTGGTACATTTGATCTGCCAGGCTGCTTTTCAAGACACCCTTGGGGCCTACATCCTTCCTGCACCCAGGTCCAGCCCTGAACTCGAAACCACAACCAGCCCCAAACCCCCTAAAAGCCGCCCAGAAGCCCCAATAATGCCTTTAATACCAAAATGACGGGCGGCCGGTGAGGCAGTACTCAACAGCAGGCCTGCGTCCAGTCTGCTTTAAAGGTGAGGTCGAGGTTCAAGGTCCTGGTTAAAAGCCCCGTTGTCCTGGAGCAGTTTATTGACTCCAACGTTAACAATTCACCGTAGAGACACGAATCGTAAGGAGATTGCGAAAAACACTCAACTCAACCCTCCAAAAGCCTACACCCTAAACCATGGAAAAGCTGGTCTACAGCCCTCGGCCATTCAATGCTCGCAGTATCTGGTGAGCATCCTTTTTCTGGTCCGTGGGAACGAGGGAGGGCTTCGGCGATTGGGCGAACAGTGCTGAGTTGGTTTTGGAAATGAGCTTTGGTTTGCGAGGTCTTTCTACTTTGCAACACAAGGAAGGGAGAAATGCTGTTAACGACAGCAGTGACAGCAGGAACGAGAATCTCCAGAACGGGTAAAAGCCAAAAGAACAGACACAAGCAATCATGGCCACATTGCTGTTGGAAACCTCCAAACATGCCACAACGTGTGAGTCACACCCCCGCACTAAACATGACTTTGCAAAATTTCCCCGCGTGGAACCACATTTGGGGCTTGGGGTATTACTCTTACTATCATAATCATTGTTGTTATGATTACCATTCTCATTTTAATACATACATGCATACATACATACATACATTCTCGGCATTGCATACATATATTACATACATTACATTACATTACATTACATTACATTACATTACATTACATTACATTACATTACATTACATTACAGTACACTACACTACACTACACTACACTACATTACATTACATTACATTACATTACATTACATTACATTACATTGCATTGCACTGCATTGCATTGCATTGCATTACATTACATTACAATACATTACATTACATTCATACATACATACATACATACATACATACATACATACATATATATATATATATATTATAATATTATATGTATATATATATATATGTGTACTCTTCTAATTAAGTATTTATGCATGTATGGACCAAGCCCCATGAACCAAGGAGGCGGTACCTGGCGGTGCTCTTTGCCCGCACATCATCGGCTTCGCATCGCGCTTGATGGGGGATCTTCGCTCCTTGCAGGACTTTCGAACTCCTTCTGCCAGAATGCGGCTCTTGCTGCAACGATTCTTGCAGTCACCAACTCACCAACCTTACCATCGCCGTCAGCACCACCAGGCGCTAGTTAAGCAGCAGCACCAGCAGCAGAATTGAAGATGTTCTTCGTTGTGAGCAACCTTGAACCTCAATACCGTCGCGTTTCCAGGCTCTGGGTTGTTGCGATTTTTTCTTGGGCATGCCGGGCCAGCTAGTTTACGAGCTTTATGCCGTATGATGTTTTGCGATTTTAAACTTTAGGATTTCGTGGCCCGGGGTTTGGATGGAGGGTTTCTGGTGCAAAAGCTTAGCAGCTTAGGAGCTAGGGGTGATTCA